CTTTCATCCAGATACTTCAAAGTTGAGAAGATCCAAACCACCCGTCTTCTTTTACTAGCTGTGTGGGGCAGCTTTTAGGTCCCCATCTGTGCCTGCCCTTCCCAAGCTGTGCCAGCTGCTGTACAGAAAGAGAACAAAAAGGCAGTGCCTGAGTCCTCGTCGTTTGGCTTTTGCATGAGCAAAGCCTGACTCAGTTTTACCAAAGCAAAATACAGACTACTCTCTCTCTGCATATAAATTAAAGGTACCAAAGAATATTAATGAAGTACATTCTGTGCTGAGATTTTATCTGATTAATTCTGCAATCATATTTATTTCAGGAGCAATTAAAAACACTAACTGATATGAAACAGGTCTTGTGGTTATGTCTGAAAATGGAGACGGTCTGCCCACAGTCAGTGATCAAAAACTGAGGGCGGGGATGAGAGAAGAAAAAGAAAACAAAGGAAATGGGTAAATACAGGTCATTTCTCCTACCTTCTACCTGCTGTTAATAAAGGTAAAGATTTTCAGAGTTATCTTTACCCTTTCAACCTCTCTCGTCATTGATCCAAGCTAATAATCTCAGGCTTACGGCATCACACAGCTTTCTACCAGCAAAGTGCAATGACACAACAGAGTCGAGAATAGAAAGCAAGGAGGAGGAAAGTGTGGGGAGCCATCAGATAAAATGGAAAAAGTAGTTATGGAAAGTTGTTACAAAATCCCTGTTTTACGCTCTCTATATAGTAAATCCCATAATGATAATAGGATCCATGAAAAAGTTTCCACCTGTAACAGCATTTTTTCCTGAAGTCACTCCTGCAGCAGTGGTATCTAAGAGATACTCTCGAGACCTTTACTTTGCCGATCGTTTGAAACACAGGACAAAACACCTGACACGAGTGCCGGTCGCCTTCTCCTAGGACACGCAGCCAGAGTGCTCCTCGGGCCTTCCAGCAGCAGGTTGTCAGACTCGAAATCAAGCATCCGCCGCCCCACCATGAAGTCAGGGCGGCAGCAAGCCCGGGGGAAGTTACGCTCAAAGAGCCAAGAATACCTTATCTCAAAGGATAAGGTGGAGCTTTACTTTTCCCCTCTTGCAAAATTGGTTATTAAGTAATCTGTTTATGTCACACATACCAGCACTCCTAACAGTGGCATTACAGCAATATGTCATTACCTTCAAGGAAAGGAACGTGCAGTGCTCTAAATGAATGGGAATGGTTTTCTCGCACAGGAGGTTCAGCTTAGGGCAGTGCCTCTTCCTGATTTCCCCCGAGAAAGCCTACATTTTCACACTTGCTTTCCCTTCCACACTCTGAACCGGACCTGGGCAGATCCCTTGTCTCGCCAAGTCACATTTCTGGGCACTTATGTGCAACATCAGTGACGGCCAGCAAAGCAGCTCTTCATAACTAACGTACTGAATTAATCAACTGAGCCCTCCCACTGATAAAGACAGTAGGGGGTGAGCTGGAATGGAGTAATTTTTGAATGTCAGCAGCTCATATCACTAATAAAATAGCAACACATTCCAGCGTAGGACCAGACTGAGGTGACATCTTAGAGATGCATTAAACAATCTCCGCAGCCAGGCCAAAGGGACATACTTTTGTCAGGTATGTATGGTTTCTATTAACATTACATTTACTCAGCAAGGGGCGCAGAGACAATTGCCCCAAGCTGAAAATGTCTGAACATCCTACTGACCAGAAATGCCCGTTTCTCCCCCTCCTTAAAAAGCAAAGTCCTTCCCTCTCCCCTACACCGCTACATAACCAAATTAGTGAGTGGCGTGGTAATTCAGAGTTGCTACCTCCCCCTCATAGACATAATGCGAGGTCATCAGCTACCAGTAAAATGACACCACGCTGTTTCTCTCTTCTTGCAAAGAACGTGCAAAACAGGGATGCTCAAAATGACAACTTCAAAATTCTGTCTTCATCTGTTTGACATCAAACCGATTCACAAACAACAAAAGCAGCCTGCTTTCTAAGCATATTATAATGTTTCGCTGTAGGGTCTTCCCGTTCTCTCCTGCAAACTCCTGCAGCTAGGGAATCCCCAAGTCCCACTGTCCTAGCACGACACTGTCAGCTGTCTCCTGATGAAGGTTACAATTCCCCTTTCCCTAGCAGAGGGAAAAGAAAACCGTCTCTCCTCTCTGCTCAGTTTTTTTCCCCTGCAAGTTTAGTGAAATTAAGAGCAGCTTTAAAGAGCCTTCCTGAGAAATGTGGTGCAAAAATTATTGGGAGAGGAATGGAAAGAAGAGGCAAGAGAGGCAAACAACTTTATGATACGTATGTTGTATCCTCACGAAAGTAGGCTAAAAATAAAAAATAATCAGAAAAATAAAATACACCTGGAGGTAACAATTCCACTCGCTGTTACCTTCTTCTACAGAAGGTGCAACTACCGTAAGCCTTTTAGAAAAGCAAGTTATAACCATACCATAGAAGTGGCTGAAGTAATGGAGAGCACTTCTGAGCTAACACCCTCAGGTCTCCAGACAAACGCTCTCCTCCTTGAAAGGACTCCACTTGCAGTGCAGAAATCTAAGAGACTTAAAAGCATCTGCACCAAGCGTCAGCCGAAGGTCTTGAACCTGACGTTTTAGCCCTTCCATTGGATCTCAAACTGAAAGAGGGTAGATTGAGATTGGACGTACAGAAGAAAATCTTTACTGTGAGGGCGGTCAGACGCTGGCACAGGTTGCCTGGAGAGGTGGTGGATGCCCCATCCCCGGAAGTGTTCAAGGCCAGGTTGAGACGGAGCTTTGGGCAACTTGATCTAGTGGAAGATGTCCCTGCCCACGGCAGGGGGGTTGGACTAGACAGTCTTTAAAGGTCCCTTCAAACCCAAACCATTCTGTGAGTCTACAGTTCATTCCATACGTGCAGACTATGACTGTACATTGGGTGCATGTGTGCATAGTAGATACACACATACATTAAGTGTACTTACATACAGGGCGCATATCTGTGTAGAGAGTTAGGTTGTAGCTGACAAGATGCACAGAATCATACAATCATTTACACTGGAAATCTTCCGCTCTGCAGCAAATAAGATCTCTTCAAAACACCAAAGCCTTTAATGATTACTCGCACTGTGGTAATGCCCCAAATTTGCCAGGTACACTACGAATTCAAGGCGTCCTGCTCCAGAAGAGCGGAGTGGCTGAGCAGCAACTCACCAACCGCATCATACATGCATCGTGACGCTGACAGATGCTCTGGCGTCAGCGCTGGCCCCGCCACAGACGGCAGCCCCTTTTGTGATTTAGCTAGGTCATTCCCAGAAGCCTGGCGAGAATCAAGGTGCTGCCTTGCCTTCAGCACGAACAAGGGAATTAGCTGGTTACACAGCTCCGAGTCTCTCCGGAGGCTCAGACAAGCAGCTACAGTTCTCAGAGGCCTGTCGCGTGCAATTAGAAATACTTGTTTCACGTCCTCTTCTCCTTACCCCGGCGAGACGAACTGCAACTGGTCTGTTAGCCCAACTAAATCAAATGAGGGTATCTACACTGAAACATGGAGATAAACACACCACACCTACAAATATTACTTAAGGCATTAACCACAGCCTTTTTCACAGCACCTGCAGACAGTTAAAAAGGACACTCCCGCACTGCTCTTCACAAACGACAGTTTGTATTATATTCCTGGAGCATCACATATGGGCACTACACACCACAACAGCATGTGGCAACATTTAAGACAGTAAAATATAAGACATGTTCTCCCCCTCTCCCCTCTCAAATGTTTCTGCTGTGCCAAAGTATCAATTATTCTACAAGCAAAAGGCTAATACAAAACCCCTGTCATTCCGACCCTGCAGACAGCAAATGGTCTAATTAAACCCAACACGACGATTTATAGCTACTGAGCACAGATTACACCATACAAGAGAGGAAGAAAACACAGGCTTTTTCATGGAAATGACTGGTTTGACTTGCTGGAAGTGTTCTAATCCACCTTTTTGGAGATTATTTTCTTTCATACTGCTTGATCCTTTACCGTCCATTACCAGCGACAATGACACGGCTGTAACCCTACACCTTTCCAAACGTTTGAAACCAAAAAGCCATAGACATTTGTTTGCAAATAAAAAAATTGGAATAAAAATTATATACCTAAGTCAAGAGGAGAAGGATAGCACTGCGAGGTGAAACGCTGGCCTCCTTCCCCTTCTCGGTAGAGTACGTACCCTATCGTCCTCTCCTCCTTCTCCCCCACTAGTTTATCAAGCACACTGTCAACCGATCCTCATAAAACAAGGAAAAGAGAATTTGCTGCAAATAGTTCATTCCTATCAGCTTAATAATTTTCCACAAACAACCCTAAACGAAACTCCTTTAAATTCCTTTTACCTTCGGGATTTCAAAACGTTTTTACTTATAGAGA